CCCTTTCTTGTCTAGCTCAACCTCTTCTTCGACCTCTAATCCAAAGTCATCCATCCTTGGCTTTCCATTCTTGCCATACAGCAACTCTATGTACTCCTTCCACCTGTTCCTTACCTTATCTGGCTCTGTCAACAACTCTCCATTGCTATCCTTGATCACACTACTCTTGATACTTCCATTCCTTTGTCGGGTGATCTGTTTCACCTTGTTATACATAAGATCTGACCGATCCCTTCTGTCCATCTCCTCCAGTTCTGCGCATTCTTCACTCCACCACTTCTCTCTAGCTTTATCCGTTTCCCTTCTAAGCTCATTATTTAGTTGTTTGTATCTCTTCCTTCCTTCTTCTGTGTTTACATTCTTCCATTTCCTTCGTTCATCCATTTTTTGTAACATTCCATCTGTAACCCATGGTTTCTGCACTCTTCACCAAAACCTCTTTCAGATCCCTCCACTTTTCTTCCACTGTGCGTCGTTTTTCATTAAAAAAACCTGACCTTTTCCTCAACCTCCTTCTGAACATCCTCCGCTCTTTCTGGCAAACGCTCTATGTCCCACTCCCTCGAATGTTCGAATGCTGAGCTTCAAACACGGACGGTCCTTGGTGTCCTTAAATGAAAAGAGACACTCTCCGTTTCTCCCTGCTGCCTGCCCTCCGATGACATCAGGCCCATTCATGGCGCTCCAATACCGTTTGCAAACACGCACCTTACGATGGGAAAAAATTTCCACTCCTGTGCTTTCGTGTTGCATCGTACATGGTCCCTGAATGGCATAGCGTTTAACAAAGGTAATAAATGACAATCTATGAAAGGATTTATCAAACAGACGGATATGAATTACGCCGGACCTGGGCAGCCGGGGTGCAGGCATTGGGGAGGCTGTGCCTGGCTGGCTTGAGGGAGGAGGCGATGGCGACCTTATCGTCCCTGAGATATCATGTAAGAGAGAGCATGTCTGGATCCCGTGACATGGTGAGACGATTTGATTGGGATGAGTGATGTGATGAGTTCGATTACGTATGGAGGATTGACAGACGACAGAGCTCCTATGTTGCTTATACTGTATATGCCCTGACCAGTTCATGCAGTACAAGGTGAGGGTAAACGATCCCGATCGTTTGGGGATAAGTGTTTATGATAAAGATCGCCCCTGAGCAAGGTGAAAGGAAGGAAGGGAAAACGCAAGGAAATTGGCTCAAATGACTGCTCGAGAACAGTGGGTCGGGTCGGGACGGTAAAGCCGTGCCCGTGCAGCATTTTACGCTGGTAGTGAAGATGGTTCCAACGGTCCCCCACTTTACGCAACAACTTCCTCGCGTGTGCCATGTTGGGCTTTGAAAACCCTCTTGCATAGGGGCATGTTGCCTTAGTGTGCGCGAGACGTACTAGGCGAGTGCACACTGTGTGCACGGTGGTCTGGTGGTGTGCGCAAGACGTACAATGTCCCGGAGTACTCCATGCTTAACATTTTTCAGTCGCAACATTCGACCTTTCGACTGAAAAATAGACAAATATGGTAAAATGCTTCGATTGTAAGACCAAGCAGAATTAATTTCGGGCTGACCCTGATCCTTCAGATCTTGCGAATAAAAATTTCCGCCATGTCTTCCTCCTTCCAGCAAAAATATTAAGAACGTTGTCTTCAGAAACGCATTTAGGAAAGTGATTTTAAAAAGTTTGAGTTCTCAATAGCATTCAATCACAAGTTGAATATCCAGTAATGCATTAGTAGAATGCAGTTAATCCAAGCACTCGATCGAAGTCCTCCAGACTTCTTTGGATTCATGTGACTCTTGCCTTCGGGACCTGTCAATGTTCTTAGCCTGCCAATAGAGTGAATATTCTAGCGACTTCTAGTTTCCAACATTTTTCACCGCCAACTTCTAATTTGCATCACGGATGGTGGTTCTCTTCCACGTTCCCTTCGAAAACATCGATTACTCTCAGAATCGTTCCCGTTCGTTATGTCCAGGATGCACATCTAACTTTCTCTTGTAACGTAAATTCCATCACGCACTTTGTCTTTTGCAAGGAGCCTTCGACTAAGAAAACCGTTTGTAATTAGCAAGCATAATTAGCAAGAAAACTTAAGATTACTTGTTAACTCCAATATTGGACGCCCTTTCTGGGACATCCTATCTATCATTCCCGCTTTCATCACCCTCCTCACTTCTTTCATATCCCAAGAGGGCGGAAACGTGTGGGTGGAGAAGCTGCCCCCGTTGCATAGAGAGCCAAAAATCCCCTATACATCGACTAGAATCTTATTCCTGGGGAAGGTGAGAGTGACATGGAAGAAACACACTGTCATCTTGTTGCAGTCGTTGGACAGAAAACTGGCAGGATTACCACCACGCGACCTAGGTAAGACGGTTTAGATGATTGTAGCCTCTCTCTCCCTTCTCACCTTGCAGTGCCAATGATGTCACCTCCAGGGTAATTCAAACTCTTTCGTAATAGTAATCTGTGCCAGGTGCCTGCATTCTTGACCTCTTATCTTTGAGATCACTGATAAGGAATTTACTCAACCTCTATCTGACCATTTTTAATGAAATTTAAAAAAATACTAAGTAACATTTCCCTTGATCTGAAACAAAACAATACTAGATCTTTGAGCCTAATTTGGGCAAGGAATATGATGCCAACATTCGTTTCAAAGTAAATTAAACCGTCCTGAAGCACATCAATTGATGAAGCTCCACCCCGCGGCATGGGATGTCATGAAAGTCAACTAACAATATTGAGATTATCTTCCCTTCACAAAGTACAGGAAGGCCCTCATCTGCTCATACATATGCATCCACATGGGTTAAATGGAAAGGTGAATTAGAGGTAATTTTGAACCAGTTGGAAATCCTCCTCTCGCAGGTTTATTTATGTTGATAGAGGCATCCAGTGGTTCCAATTCCCCCTAGGGGTCGAACATTTTGTAAGGAGAGTATTGATGAGTATGATGTGGACGCACATACTCGGATCCCCCTCTGCCCTGTCATCACCACTGGTGCAAGAGCCACCAATAACACATTACCTCCATTATTATGATCTCTCACGGCGCAACGGCAAAATAACAACTTCGGAACCCCTCACATCATGAGAAATTGTATTCAAATTCGCTGAAATTTTTTGGGCCATGACCAACATATGTGATCATACAGTATATGTACCTGTACCCATCGCCAAAAAAATCGCGACTAAGGAGTTGAGTGATCTTGATAGTACATGGTTGTGTACCAAATTTTTATGAAATGGCTATGAAATCGATTAGAGTTTCAAGTGTGTGTGGAGTAAATATTTAAGGAGGAAATTTGCCAATTATTCTAATTTCAATGGCGGCTATGGAGTCATGCTAATCGCCCGAAACAGTTACCTAAAAGGTTTTCACCTATGAAACATGACAAGGAAACTCCTGAAGATTTGCAGAAAAATCTAGCAAAGTTTCGAAATCGTGAGATAAGGCTGTGCGAAGATAAACGTGCTAAATGCCAGAGGAACTGGGGAAGAGGGGCACCATCGAGCCACCTCACCATAGGGCCGAAGTTGTCTACCTGCGAGGCTGTGCCAAGATGAGATCCCTGGACGTGATTTCAACATGTTAAGGTGTTCGTTCCATGGAGGGTAATAGTGATGTTTACCGTGCATCAACCTGATGCATGAAGCTGATACATGCCTTGGAGAACTTCGTAAGACTCGAGTCCATTCATTCTCGAAAACTCTGGACAAAAATTTTCCATTGATGTTGAGAGATATCGAGCTTCGATGAGATGATCAGCATGCAGCTACACCTGGCAGGATCATCTCAGGATTGTATGTCCTAGTGGAGTCTTCTTGGTTCTCAACCTATTACGTGATTAGGGATGTTTTTCATTGTGAAGGGTGTATCGAAGTTTTACCTACCATCTACGAAGTTTTAGTTGAAATGACGTCGCCCCCCCCTCCCCCGCGCATCATCCGCTCTTCCGTGCTGCGTCTGAATGTAACCACCCTTCCTCTCCTTCCTTTCCAGAGAATCTCGTGCCGGAGAAGAGACGCCAACTCGTTGAATCATTCGGTAAGGGCGACATTCGCCACTTTATTTTCATAATTTACTTCGTCACGGTGCAACCATCTCTTCTCCCCTCGATTCCCAGAAATACTCGACCCGAGGGAGAGACGCCAACTCGTCGATGCATTCGGTAAGACGACGTTCGTCCGACGCTCGCGATCGCTTCCGTTTCCCCGTTGAGTGATGACACGATCGTGGAGTCTCTCTTTCCTCTCCAGACGAACTCGGCCCGCTGAAGACATCCTCACTCCTGCGTGATTTCCGTAAGACGTTCGCCCGACCGGTCGCAGTCGCGTGCATTACCCTACACTTCCTTTCTCTTTACTCTTTCGCTTCCAGACGAACTCGGCCCTGTGGCGACGGCTGCGTTCCGGAGTAGCTTCAGTGAGAACCGCGTTTCTCCTGCCCGTCCCCGATCGCGTGCATTTCCTTCTTCCGTTACGAAGCGATAACGTCTCTCTTTCCCTTCCAGACAAGCTGGCGGAAACAGAGGCGTGGTACCTCCTGGAAAAATTCTGTACGTATGACGTTCGCAAAACCGCTCTCGATCCCATATATTTCCTTAACTGTTATCTTATCTTCTCTCCTTCCCATCGAGACGAAGTCGGGCCGGAGGAGACCAGGAAACTCGTGGATTCCATCGGTAAGAACGACGTTGCCCCGCCCCTACATCACATCCTTTTTCCCCCGGTCCATCAAGATGCCATCTCCTATTTTCACCTTTCGTTTCCAGACAAACTCGGGCCGGAGGAGAGACGCCAGCTCATTCCTTCTTTTGGTGCCTAAGTCTTTTGCCACCCTTGTCTTTTCGGTGTCTTCCACTTTCGCCCCCGAGACTTAATTCGAGTTGCGAAATTTTCCCTTTCGTCTCATCTCGATAAACGGGGCGAGAGTGCACAGGGGCGAATTTCCAAACATTGATTTCGTGACTGAAGACCACGTCATCCCTTTAAAAGGCCAGGTAGGTTTAACTCCCAGTTTCGCTTTCCTCCCCGTGTAAGATGGATACCGAAAATGACTTGGAGCGGATAGAAACTACAGTCCCTCGTGGATTCAGAAATCATTGTTCCTGTGAAGAATCTTATGCATGGGTCAAATGATGCTTAATAAAAATTGCATCTGAACGAACTGCTTCCGAAGGAGCCGATGGTCTACCCAAATAACACCACATAATACAGGGCTATGTCATAATTTTTCGGATCGATTTCGTTCGTTCCAAATAGATGGATTCTGGAGACGGTGAATCCTCGCCTCCCAGTCCCTGCAATTATTTTCCTTCTTCATCCTGGCACCCCCAGTCTCCAGCACGAGCAGCAGCGATTCCATGTGCGATTCTTCCTTCTAAATCTAAGCCACGTGTTCAAAAATGTTTAAGTGGCGCTTCTGGGCATGTATCGGTATCCGTCTTACACGGGGAGGGATGGTTAAACTGGGAGTTGACCTTGCCTCCTCTTTGTAAAGGCCGAGGCAGAAATGGGGATATCAGACGTGAAAGTCAGGTGTGGAAAGTCGCCCCTGTGCTCTTTCGCCCCGAGGTAGGTCAAAGATTAAATCACACGTTGCGATTCTTGTCGATCGGAATGCGGGGGCGAAAGTGGTAGCGAACGTCTCTTCCAGGTTCGATCGCGATTTCATCGACTCTTCTCTTTTCCCTTTTTCAGAAGAATTCGGGCAGGAGGAGATATGCGAACTCGTTCGAGCTCTCGGTAAGGAGGACGTTCTCCCGACGCAAGCATTTCCACCTTCCTTTACGATGCGATCGCGTTTTCTCTCTTCCCTTTCCAGAAAAACTGGACTCGGACGAGGCAGGGAACCTCCTGGAAAGTCTCGGTGAGCATCCACTTTTCCCTCCGCCTCCCGTCGCGCCC